GGGTTTGCGCCCTTCCTTGGGAAAGTCGGTAAAAGTCCTCGCCGTTCTCTGCGGGAAAGCGGGTGAAGGGAGAGAAAGCCGATAAGAATGGTATCTCGAGTGGGTGGGGTTTCTTGAGATGCCAGGAGAAGTCGCAACACTTATTACCTGTAGAAATAAGTTGCATTGACGTTTTGAAGGAGTAGTGTCAGGAGAGAAAAGGGATCGTAAAGAGTGATTTCATGGGAGTCTTTACTGCCTTAGAGAAATTATACCAAATTCTTAACCATCAGGGATGCTTCAGGCTTTCTCCTTCCTTGCCCATTTTAGCTCAGCCTTTAGACCTTCCATCCTTTGAAATACTTTTCCAGGCTAAAAGCAAAGAATGTTTCCTAACAGACTGAAACCCCGGGTTTGTTTCATCTGGTCTGATGCTTTCTGGCTGTTTCTAGATGCCTTGCAGGAAGCTCTCCTCTGTATCTGGGGCATTGTTGGTGGCTCCTCACCTCTCCAGGCTGGCAGGATGCCTGCAGAAGTCTGGCTGCCATGGCCCAGAAGAAGGTGAGGGTGAGGGCCTGGCCATCCCAGTCTGTGCTGGGGAGCTGCCTAGGAACTGGGCAGGATTCAGAACGGTTTGTTGGCATGGTCAGGCTGGCAGGTGCTGTAGATAAGAAACCTTGCTCCCTGCGCTGGAGATCCAGCAAAATCAGATTTGGTAGCTGGAGACCTGTTGCCTGGTCCCTTCAGTGTAGTTAACTCTGCTCTTTGCAGCAAGCTGAGAGTTATGCTTTGGTTGGGAAATGTTTCATCCTCATTTTGCCCAAAAGAGCAATGGGAAACACACGGAGTGACTCTTGTACAAAAGTTTTCACTCATTCTTTCTGTACCACCTGAAACTACACTGTCATATGTTTTGGTGGGCTTGCACTGGCTCAGGGTGTGTTGGTTTTGCCTGAAGAAAAGAGGAAAATTATTTTTCTCAGCCCTCCTCATCCTTAATCTCAGCTAGAGCTGGGGCAGGGTGCAGTGTACTAAGAGTGAACTCAGGTTGCTGCCTAAACGCTTTGTTGGATGGAATATTAGAGCAAATAAAGCTGTCTTAAGTTGTTATCAGGAGAGAGAGAGAGGAACTGCTGGGGTTTGCATTTTTGTTTGCTTCAAAGTGTGATTTGTTGGGGTTTTTTTTCCCCCTCTTCTGGACAAAACCACTCACGTGAAAGAAAGTCCAGTTATTTGAAAGCATCAGACTAGGCTCATTTATTTCTTACAGCATGCAAAGATGGCACTGATAACTTCCCTCTTCTAGACAAAACCACTCACGTGAAGGAAAGTCCAGTTATTATTTGAAAGCATCAGACTAGGCTCATTTATTTCTTACAGCATGCAAAGATGGCACTGATAACTTCAAAACCTTAAGAAATTACTATGAAACAAAACCAGTCTAGAAGTGATGTCTTCCAAAAACATCTACCTTAGAAGCGTTGAGAACTATAATTTTTTTTTCCTCTCCCTGTTTTTCCTGGAAGTGTCTCTTGGTCATCTGCACTCTCCCTGCCTGCGGGCTGCATCCCTGTGTCTTTATTCCTGGATAACTCAGAGTTCATGGCAGCTTTCCTCCTGTCCCTGCCTGCAGACCTTTTCCAGGGACATCCAGGCATGCTGGACGATGGTGCACCCGTAGGGTGGGGCTTGGCATGTGCCCAGGGCACACACCCAGAGCCACGGGCCGGCAAGGCTATCGAGGATTATTAGACTGGGAGGTTTCTCAGTCAGTCCTGGAGGGTGTGGACATCACATCTTCAAGAGGTGAAATTTTGAAACCCTTCTGTTTGAGTGAAGGAAGAATTGACAGAGATGTATGAATCTTGCTATGAGAGTAGCAAAGCTTTTCTCAGATTGTACTTCCTTGATGTTTGGAATGCTAAGACAAGCTGGGTATGATGAAATTCACTCCAGAACACATTAAATCACTATTGCAGTGTCAGAGCCAGTAGCAATTATTTTTCAAAATTCATAGAAAGAAGTTAATTTTTTCTTTTTAAAAAAACACCAAGGACAACAAAACAAACCCAAAATACAGAAAACCCCCAGAACAACATGCTGCTTTAGTTTTAGAAAGAGCAAAGGTGAGATAATTCAGAGCAGCCTAGCTTCTATTGCCAATAACATGTTGAAACGTGGCAAAAATGTTTACAAGCATCTGTGCATTGATTCATTAACTTCATTTTGTTCCAAAAAGAGTGGAGGAGAAAAAAGCAGCACTATGGTGAGCTATGATATCAGGTGAGAAATAAGAGCTGGTATTTTATATATCCTGTTGAGCTGAAGTGGTGTATTATTTTGAACACCAGATTTCAGAGTAAAGTGAATCCTCAGGAGAGACTAAAGGGAAGCAAAAAAAAAAATAAATAAATTCAGGAAAATCTTATTTTATGATTCTTCAAGTGAAATTAAAGAACTGGGAAAAGGAAGTGGGTAAGATACACGTAAAGTTTTCAGATATGGGAAGAGTAATTGTGGAGGAAATGGAATTACACTGTTCAGTGAGAGCATTATCAGCGTGGCAAAGGGGCAGATTTGGTTTGAGGTTAAGACATCTCAATGTAGGTGTCTTGAGTTTCTGTAATGGTAAATAGAGATGCAGTGGACACAGAGTTGCACTTATTTGGTTGGATCAAACTCTTGCTTTTGGAGCAAATCTCCAGAGTGTGTGAATCTAATCCCTCCTGGGTAAAACTGTGTTGGGAGATGCATCCATCTGCCCAATTCTGAAACTGAATCTCTCCTAACAGCTGTATAATCAGCTTGAAAAGAGCTAAAAGTCAGGATAATAAAATCAAGGTAAAAATAGACCTCTGCATCTGTAAGGTTAGCTAGGCACCACCTCAGGTTGGCTAGTGAGGCCCTGGGACCTCCACCCCTCCTTTATAAGAACAGGTTAAACCCTTGTCAGGCAGCATCTAGAGTAGTTCATCCTGCCCCAGGGCCAGGAGATGGACTAGTAGATAACCTTGTGTGGTCCCTTCAGCCTGCTTCTCTAAAGGTGGGAGATCTTCACTTGCCCATCAACACCAGACTGACTCACAGGAGGTGTGAGATCCAGATCTCTGGGTATGTGAAAGACCACATTTCTAGGACTTACTGTTTCATTGTGTACAGTCACATACCTTCTTGCTTACTTCATCTTTACATTGTAAAAATAAGCTGTGTGTTCAAGATGTACAGTCAGGAAGTGACTAAAGGACACATGAGGATGAATTTGGGCAAGAGCAGCCTTGCACTCCCTATACACAGCAATCCCTCCTTTCCCCTGCCCTCTTGCCTACTCCTGCTGCTTTCCCATAGTTTTTCATTCCATTTCTATTACTTCAGGCCTCAGGTTTTCCACCTCAATTTCTGTAACCATCCAGCTGTCTTCTGACAGTGCCTGCTCAGCTCTGTCATCAAGAGATTTGATCAGCAGATGTCTATTTTTTGTGCCAGGGCTGTGATTCACATCAAATGGCAGACAGGACTTTACTTTTTTTAAGCTGTTTAATAGAAGGCAGCTCTAGGATACCAAAAGAAGGAAAATCCAGAGCTTCACACCTGTTGGATTTGTGATATTTCACTTTTTCTTGAAAAAAAATGTCATTGGAAAGTGCTTTTCCCTTTTTTAAAGATTTTGGATCCTTTAAAAATATTCAATAAAAGTGTATTGGCTCCAATTGTATTTATGTATCTCATAAATAAAATTACCATTCTTAAACACTTTTTATTGCTGTCTTAAAGTCTTTTATGAGATTGCCTGTGGATTACAGGTTGAAAAGCACAAAAGCAAAAGTATGTTTTACTGTTTCAGGAATGAAACAATGTTTTGATGCAGCTTTGCAGCATTTGCAAAGTGACTTTTAATGATCTTAATAAAGTCTGTTTATAATGATTAATGGGATTTTCTCCACTTGATATGCATCTCAGTGGAAGACCTGCTTGTTCTTGACCTGCAGACACTTTTATTCATGCTGTGGTTCTCAGGTTTCAAATACAAGGAAGCTTCTCACCTTGTGCCTCTTGACCTGTTTAATATTGAAAGGGAAACACTTGCCCCTTGAGCTCACCAGTAAGAGCAAACAAGAAGGGTCAGGATGACATCTTGACAACTATTCACCTTCCAAATGAGTTGCAGCTTCTCTTGGAGAACCTTGACTATAACCAAAATCCTCTTGTCACTCTTGCTGCTACAATCTCATTAATCATAAAAATACATCTCGAAAGTCTGTATAACTAATAAAATAAGATTAAGAGTATTCATGAAAACAGCTTGGTCTAAGGTGTACAATCCTGTAGCCCTCACAATGGACATTCATTAGGGAACATATTGCTCTCTGATTTTTGTCTTGAGAATATATAACCTGGAAAAACTGGCATTTGAAAAGCAGTTTTCTTGTGCAAGTTGAAACAGTGGCCTGCTGCATTGCTCAACCCTCTGAGCAGTGGCATTGCTGCCTTGTGTGGGAAAGAGATAACTTTAATCTTTTAATCTCCAGGGGAAAAGAAGAGCTGTCATCGATACAGTGATTGAGGCTGAATCAGAGGGATGAATAGGGAGAACCCAGTCATCAGTCTAGAAACCAGAGAATAGAAAGTACTCCTCCTTGATTTATTTCAGTAGGAAAACACTTCTGTGCATGCTTTGCCTTAGGCATTAGTGTATGTATAGATATAAAAGACCTAAGATACAAAATACAAAGCTCAAAAGCTGCATTTGTTTGGCTCAGCTGTTGGAATAACCTCTTCCTTGTTGCTGCAGTTTCCCAGTGCCTGCAGTTTTGCATGGTTTGAGGGGTTTGTTGTTTGCAGATCATGGTTGTGGGGCTGTTGAGCCTGGAGAAGAATGGGAGGGGATCTTATCAGTGCTTATGAATTTCTAAAGGATGGATGTCAAGAGGATGAGGATGGGCCCAAACTCTTTTCAGAGGTACCCTGTGATAGGGCAACAGACACTAACAGGAACGCAGGGTGAGGATGGGCCCAAACTCTTTTCTGAGGTACCTTGTGATAGGATAACGGGCAACAGACACTAACAGGAACGCAGGAAGTTCCACCTAAATATGAGGAAAAGCTTCTTCACTGTGAGGGTGATGGAGCACTGCAACTGGCTGCCCAGAGAGGTGGTGGAGTCTCCTCTTCTGAAAACTGTGAAAACCCACCTTGGTGCCATCCTGGGCAGCCTGCTCTAGGTGACCTTGCTTTAGCAGGGAAGTTGGACTTGGTGGTGGCCAGAGGTCCTTTTCAGCCTCTCCCATCCCATGATAAACACATGGTCTGTGACAGCTTGGCTGAGGCTCCAGCTCCTTCCAGCTAGGATGAGGCACATAACCAGGTGTTTAGGGGCACATGTAGCTGTCTTCATGCACAAAGAGGTAGGCAGATCAATACTGAGTGTTGGCATGTCAGGTTTTGGCAGAGCAAGCATGGTTTGCTGGCTGGGGTGCACGTGTCTCTGCCTTAAGTAAGGGGTGAATGGATGGATGGATGCCATTTATGCTCCCAGCAAGATGCTAAACAGGGAAGCTGCTTCTGTCAGTTAAGCTTCAGCAGATGTTTTGACTAGCCCTTGCTTTTTAAATGTTATTTAACCTGTTTTCTTCTCTGATGTGGTTGGTAACCCACCACAGCCTGTCCAGTCCATGTTCTCCCCAGAAGAGGGAGCTTCCTCAGGGTGCTGCTGGCAACCAACACGTGCTTCAATCCATGGCAAATGCCCATCGTTTTGGAATAGTGAAGCATTCTTCAGCACTAAAAAATAAATAGTTGGTTAAAATGACTGTAAAGTCTGAGTTTATTGTTGAAAAAGAAAGATTAATTGCTTATTATCTGTTTCCTGATTGGAGAAAAGTGGTAAACTTAACTACCTAATTATAGTGCATGTTTGCAATGTGAATGATTATGGGTGAATTTTTCAGAAGCTATTATGGGTAAATAATAAATATTAATTGATGGAGGTCAGATGCCTTCTTAGGGCTTGGCTGTTCTTATGAGGGATGTCATGTCAGTTAAGTTTGAATACTGCTAAAGTGTCACAGAATTAATTGTTATTATCATAATTTCCATTGCAGGTCTGTCTGAATTATGGAAATGGACTCCATGTGATGGTAGGAAATAAGGGAAACCTGCTTTTCTTTATCAGTGCCTGAAGAAGGGTTCTCTGAGCAAAGTGTCAAAGACATGCCCTATTTCAGTTCATAAAAGTCACAAGTTTTGCCATTTTCTGAAACATGAAATCTGTGTGTTGAATAATGAAATGGAAGCTGACATGTAAGTGAATAGATTCCTATGTCAAAGACATGCCATATTTCAGTTCATAAAAGTCATGAGTTTTGCTATTTTCTGAAATGTGAAATCTGTGCAATGAATAATGAAATGAAAGCTGACATGTAAGTGAATAGATTCCTACCTCCATCAAACTGAATGGCATTCAACTTTGAGAAACTTCCCCTAGAACACTGTTTGTAGGTATCTTCTTTTAACTCTCTGTAAATGAAATCCAGTACTGTTTTATAGAAGATGTGAATTAGAAACATTTCCAGATGTTAATCCAGAAGTCAGCAGACACAGTAGGGACAAGCACTTTTTTCACCAACCCCTGGTCTTGGGAATTTGCTCATGTATTTAAAGCCTTTCTTACCTAATTCTGTCTTGAGAAGACCTCAAGTTTTCCTCTTCAAACCTGAGAGGAGCTTATAGCTCTTAGAGTGGGGCTTAAACTCCTCTGTGATTTTGAAGTGACCAGCTATTGAAAGAGCAAAACTGTGCAGAAGTCTGGGCTACAGCAGCAATAAAGCATTCATCTGAAATGGCTAAAAGTAATGCTGACATTCAACCTTGTTTTTTTTTTCCCACAGATTTATAATGGAAATGGCAGGAGTGGCATCTTGTCTCATCCCAACAGCCTCATCAGGCAGAAGAGGGAATGGACAGTGCCTCCAGCTTTCATAAGGGAGGAGGAGGACAACTCTCATAAGAATCCCATTGCTAGAGTAAGCCTGGAAAAGAGAGAAATACAGAATACATGTAAAAAGAGAGATGAAAATGTGAAATAAGGGTGTGGCTGCCCTAAACTCATCTTTAATTTTCAAGGACTGTTCAGTGTCAATGAAAGATTGGCACATCTCCTGTTTCCTTCCTTCAGCAGATGAGTTACTCTTGCAGCCTGACTGGGTTCAGTCTCATCATTTCCCTGCCACTAGTTTTCATAAAACTTTTGGGAGTGCAATATCTTTGAGTTTTTTCACTCAAAAAACAGTGATTTTTCCAGCCTTTCCTTGTACTTGTATCCTATCCCACTCTCTGTCCAAGCAGTCCAAATTTTCTTCTCCCACAGACCTCTCCATTCCATGGTTCCTAACTGTTCTACTGCCCATCATGTTCCTCATCTCCTGCACCAGATACTCAAACAGAACATGCAGCTCTTCCTGCATTCACCTCAACATCTCCACACTCCAAGGAGTGCAGGGAAATGCATTTAATATTTACATTTGTTCATTACAAAAATAGGAAAAATATTTTTGTTGCCTTTTTAAATATGGGTTTTATTTATCCAATGCTATTTAATATGTTATATTCCTTCTAGATACATTCTGATCTTGAAGATTCAGGGGTAGTGGTGACTTACACTATATCTGGTCAAGGAGTAACAGAACCCCCTTATGGATTATTTGTTATCAATGGGAAGACTGGAGATTTGAACATAACAGGAAGGGTTGACAGAGAAAAGACTCCAATGCTACTTGTAAGTTGACTTGTAACCTTTTCATTATAACTGTCCATTTTATATTTTGGTCAAATGTGTTTACTTCAATTAGTTCTACAGTTTCTGGATATTTTTGTGTGTATATAAGCTTATATAATGCTTAGATTTTGTTATATGTAATATATAGTCCTATTTTGTACCTGTATTTATATATATTACAGTCACTCATTGGATTTTCTTATTTCTGTCTGTATTACTTCAGCTTAGAGGTTATGCACTAGATAAGAATGGAGCAAAACTGGAAGAGCCAATAGACCTCCCAATTAAAATTGTGGATATAAATGACAATTTTCCAGTGTTTTCACATGAAGTTTTTGTTGGTTCAGTTGAAGAATTAAGTGAAACAGGTAACTTGCTTTTTAGAACTGTTTTTTTCATTTGGCTTTTTCCAGCACATGCAAGGGCACAAGTGTTTCTGCAGCAGCATATCTGCAATAACAAGTTCTCTGGCTTGTGTAGGCCAGGTTATCCAGGTGTAAATGTGAGTTTTTATTCAGGGCTGAGCTGTGTGCTGGGATTTAGGGGAAGTACCCACCACAAGGCAACAGAACAGCACTTCCTCTTGCAGTACCTTTGGTTTGGTGTCAAAGCTACCACAAATCCAGGAACCAGAATCCTTCAAGGGAAATAGTCTGCCTTCTGACCTAGCAATCCCAGCCTGCTTGGGAGGGACTTCACTTTGCCATGCTCATGAAGAGCCCAGCTTTGTGTTGGCTGGAGAGTTACCTTGTTAAGTGCATATGGCTGTGACCTAACCCTCAAAGAAGAGTTAATGGCACTTTTCCTATGGATGTCAGTAGACCTAAGAAAACAGGTTATTCTTCAGAAGATAAACTGGAATAAAACAACCTAATAAATACCTGACATTGTGTCCATTTCAATGTCATGATCATCTGAAGAAACAAATTCTTGACCATCCACTTAAATAACTGAACTATTGAGTTCCCTCAGCTCTCTTTCAGGTCAGCAGTAGGCATATGGTAATTGCTGCTTGCCTGAATTTCAGGTAACCCTCAAATGCAGGCACTGGACACTGAGATGCACCCTTTTCCAGAGGACAAAACTCTGTGCCATGATTTCTAGGGGTGTGCACCATGGGAATAAAGCTGTAAAGCTGTTGAAGGGCATCAGTACAGAGCAATTGTTTTAATAACACTGAGACAGAGGAGTTAGTGATGCTCCCTTTAGAAGAACGTGTGAGGGAAATGTAGCTTGTTGTTCAAAACCTTTTCTTTCTTCTCTGCATGATACCTACAGATTTCTGTCAGAGCCTTTGAGAGAATTCAACTTGTTGTTCAATTCTGGTGCATTGAATTCTACAAGTTACAGATGTGTGGGTACAATCTTTTTGTTTGCTAGAGGATATACTTTTAGCAGGTACTGTTTGGATTTTAGGAATGCTTCAGCTCTATTTATTCAGTTAAAAAGGCAAGAGCATCAGAAGAACTGCAGTGCCTCTGACAGCATGCTATTATCTTTGACATTACAGTAAAAATAGTGCATGGCAGTGTGAACAAATAATGTATTTTGTTTGCTTTCTACAGGTACAATTGTAATGAGAATAAATGCAACGGATGCAGATGAACCAAATAACCTCAATTCCAAAATTGCTTTCAGGATTGTTTCCCAAAGCCCCAGTGCTGCATTCAGTATGAATAAGGATAGTGGAGAGGTTCGAGTAGCAAAAATAAACCTTGACAGAGAGGTAAAATAAAAAAAAAACCTTGCATCTTTTATCTGTTAAAAGCAGTATTCTGATGCCCACTGTGTCATCTTCATCCCTGCCTGCTGGAATGCAAAGCTGACCCTCCTCACCTTTCTCCACCACTCTGGAGGCTGAAGCCTTGTCTGCTTGATGCATGTTTTTCAGGGATTGGGGTGGGGGGATGCTGGGATCAAGGTTGTATTCCACCAGTCCCCTCTCTAGCACACCACCTGCCTGGTGGCTCTTGGGTTCTGCCCCTCCCATGCAGCCAGGGCAGCAGGTACATGAAATGAGAGGTCACTTCTTTCTGCTGGAAGGCGTGTGGCAAAGCCAAGGCAGATGACACCTGCAAAGCTGCTGAGTGCAGCTGCATTTTTGTAGCTTGCTATGCACATCAGGGTGCAAAGAGTTGGGACTGGTGCTGCTGTGAAACTGTTGAAAGCCAGGTATCACCAGCAGCTTTACCTGTGCCTGCATAAGCTGTCACTGGCCAGCAGATGGTGATCTGGATGTTAGCTCTCTGCAGATGAGGGCAGCATCTCTGCCTCTGCCTCTGTGCTGACGTGCAGATGTCACTGGTCCTGTCCCTGCTCATGACCACTGACTTTCTGTTCATTTGCCATGCAAATACAGTCTAACTCTTTGTGAGGGAGATGCAAAAATCCCAAATCCTTCTCAAAGCCTCATCTCTACTCTAGCAAAGCCTATTGAGGTAATTGTGTGTGAGTTTTATTACTAGCTAGAGAGGAGTTATAATTGGCCACGAGAGGGCTTACCAAAATGTAATAGAGATAATACAGCAAAGGAAAAAAAAAATTTAGCCTGGTTTAAACACTTTTTTCTTATCACAACAGACACAAAGTAGCTATTCTTTGGTGGTGGAAGCAAAAGACCGTGGTGGTGAAGTAGGTGGGAATGCTGCAACATGCTCTTTAGAAATCAAGATCCTGGATGTCAACGACAATCTCCCTGTGGTTGAAAGTCGTACAGTGAGTACATTTATCACAATATTTGGCACATTGCTACAGCTCCTATTATCCCATTGCATAATATGAGGTTGTACAAACTTCTTGCATTGGTGTAATGAGGTAAATCGTGACTTTTTAAAGAATGGTGGTTTTTGATTGCAGTTTGAAGGAAGCATTGAAGAAAACAGAGCAAACGTGGAAATCATGCGAATAAAAGTGTTTGACAAAGATGAAGAGTTTTCTGACAACTGGCTGGCAAACTTTTCATTTGTTTCTGGTAATGAAGGTGGCTTTTTTCGTATAGTAACAGATGCCAAGACAAATGAAGGAGTTTTGACTGTTGTGAAGGTTAGTATGTTCTTTAGAGTCTTCTTCAAATATGAATTTACTCTCTTTAAGTTGACATAGAAATAGTTTCTATTCAGTCAGTATATAAACTATAAACATATGTGGTGGACACTCCTCCTTTAGTATATTCAATAATTCTGTGCAAAATAATAATTTTGTCCAGCTTTACTATTTACATTCTGTATGATCTCAAATGTATCTAGTGGGACAGAAGTCCCAGAACTTTCCCTGTTGTTGGGCAACAGTGCTAACACATGTGCTGTAAATTTTCCCATATTTTTGCTCTCTTTGGTGGTCTTATCTTAAATTTCTTTATTTCCCATGGCCACAGATAACATTGCAGGCAACACCTATTCCATGAGCCATAGGCTTTGGACTAATTTATGAATTTCCATAAATTGAAATTATGAAAATATTTTTCATACATTGACATTTTATTAACATCAGTCCCTTTTGGTCCACAAGAACTGAAGAAGCATAGTACCCTAAGTACCTGTTTATTTTCTGCTCTGCTTTCCTTATCTGAAAACTGATAAACAAAAAATTCATAAGCTTTATGAAGTAAATCTGTTTAAAAAATAAAACTGCAGGAGCCAAGTAATACTGAACAGTGATCCCCTGAAAGTAAAATACAGAACAGATAGGTAGGAGTCATTGTTTCTCTATTAAATTAGTTGAAATTCATTAATATAAGGACATATCTATGGTGCCATCCATAAAAATGAGAGTAATCTTTCTTTTTCTAATCTTTAATATAGGTACTGTTTAATATAGATATTAACCAACAGTTCTTTGCAGTTTAGCGTAATTGTTATTTAAAGGATGTTATAATATTAAATAGTATTACTTGAATATTAAATATGTGAATTATATATTCTTAAATATGACACTGTATTATATATAGTCTTAAATATGAGATTCTGTCAAATCCTGAGTGATTTTTTTTCCTCTATTATTTTTCCTCTAGGAACTGGATTATGAAAAGATGCAAAGCCTAAACTTGGGCATTGTTGTAACAAACAAAGCAGAGTTCCACAAGTCAATTAAACATAGTTACAAGGCACAAACAATTCCAATCAAAATTAATGTGATTAACGTGCGGGAGGGTCCCGTGTTCCCTGGTGGCACAAAAATTATTGAAGCAAGTGAGAAATATCAGATAAAACAAGTTATTGGACAGTATCAAGCCCTTGATGAAGACACTGGGAAAATAGCAGAGAAGATTATGTAAGAATCTTTTTTATAACAGTCCTAACTATGTCAGAAATAGCATCTCTGGAAAAAAGTGTATCTTGAACTGAAATAACTTCAGAGGCAGTAATTTTCTACTATGCATAATTGACACCTAAACCAAGATCATTATCATCATCTTCAGTATTCTGTTGTGCAGAAAATAGCTGACATGAAAATCCTCCTTGTTTTGTTGGATGTGATGAGTGTTTGTGCTGAAGTTGTCTGTGGTTGAATGCTATTTACTGTGCCTGTCTACTTTCTAGAGATCTACTCATCTTTATGGTCTGCAGAAACATTAGGAGGGAATATGCAGATTTAGACTTTATATAAATCTAACAATTGGACAGAACTGTGGCTTTCCAGCTAAAATGTTGAATCACCAGTGTGGCTTTTCCAAACTGTGCAGCCCAGGAGTGGGCCTCTCTCCCCCACACCTGTGGTACAGCTGCTGCTCAGCTTTTGCTGGGACCAGGGGTGGAGGAGAAGAGGACTGCATCCAGCAGCACAGCTCCCTCTCCTGCTCCTGTCCCACTCTCTGAGTTTACATTTCATAATGCCTCTACACCTAAATTCTGGCTCTAAAGGGAAAAGCAGGTTTCAGCATCCCAGGTAGGATTTATAATCTTAGGTTTATAGTTGAAAGTAATTCCAGTGGCAGAAGCCTCAGACTTCAGACCCAGGGATTTGGTCTCTGCATTAAGCAAAAAATAAACATACTGTGAAGCTGCTTTTTCTGCTGATGGTTGTTTTCCTCGTTATAAATGTGTCCCTCCTGATGTGCAATTTTAATCAGATACATGAAAGGAAGAGATGCAGCAAACTGGATCACAATAGACTCAGTCACAGGTGAAATTAGACTTGCCAAAAAACTCGACTACGAATCGCCTCACGTAGTGAATGGTACCTACACTATCACCATATTGGGTGTAACTACTGGTGAGTTGAGAGGGTTTTATTTTCACACTAATTGGTTTGTTTAGGGCTTAGTCTGCCTCTCTACAGCTATAGTTGGTTTAACATCCCTACCTTTAGCTGCCTAAAAGTTCAGCACCTTGTGCAGTCTTCCATGGGATCTGTATTTGTAGGAGAGATGAGCACCCCATTGAAATGGGATGAAATTTGGAATGGGCTCCTGAGGTGCCCATTTCTCTTATTTGACTAGATGAAGGTGAACTTCCACTAAGTTTTTCAAAGACTAAGTCTGATAGCAACATTCCTTCCCAAGGTGGAAGTTGCCAGTATCTCAGTATGCTACTGAACAGACCAGAGTCCTAAGTTTTTTTGAATGTGAGGCAAGAGAGACTCCCTGAACTTCTTGTGTATCTGATCAAAATCCTTTTCTAACCTGCATGTTATTGTGTAACCATAAAGAGGAAATGTGCATTACTTGTTTCACTATTTTGACTTAAAAAATAAGTTCCCTTCAGAAGAACTTTGTCAGTGTCTTTAATACTAGGAATGAAATGCTGCTCCCATAACTAGCTGTTCTTTGAATTTATTGCAGTAGTGTTTGTGTTTTGGAAATAAGTTGTTGGGTTTTTTTTTTATTTTATTTTAAGATTAAATTTTTGCACTTTTCAAATCAATTTATTGTTTCATCTTTTGACATCTAGATGTTCCTAAGAAAACAGCCACTGGCACAGTCGTTATTCAAGTTCAAGATGAGAATGATAACTGCCCAATTATTGTGAACCCTGTGCAGACTGTGTGTTCAGATGCAAAATTAATTAATGTTACAGCTAATGATTTGGATGGTTATCCAAACAGTGATCCCTTCAGCTTCACTGTCATTGATGAGCCAGAAGGGATGGCAGAAAAATGGATAATTGCATCCAGAAATGGTAAGGAAATGTGTTTTTAAATACTTCCAATTGTTTGGAGTCTTAGTGTTGTAATTTCTTAATTCCAGTCAGACTGACAGTTTGGCTGAGCCAGACCAAAAACAAAAACCATATATATGGAGTCAGACACATCACTTGTGTTCTGCTCCCTTCTCTAATGGCTGTAAAAGCACAGCTTCCTGCTCTCTGCCTGTGGCATACAACAGACTAACCTCCTCAAGGCTGAAGCTGGGTGGGTTTTTTGTGAATTCAGCCTTTAGCCATCTAGAAGGTGTGGAGGTTTGATGCTACGTAGGCAGAGTTGGATTTAACTGGAGAGGGCTTGTTGGGAGGCTGTGAAGGTTTTATTTCCCTTGGTTTACGAGTGTCAGCTTTCTCTCCACTCATTTCTTTTATTTAACCCCCATCTCCTGCCTCAGGCACCAGCATACAGCTGGCACCACAAAACCTGAAGCCGGGCAGAGCTGAAGTTCCCATCCTAATAAAGGATTTCCAAGGATTCAGCTGTGCCCAGGCACAGTCTCTGCAACTGACTGTTTGCAACTGCGCCGACAACGGCGTCTGCAAAGAGAAAGTTACTGCTGGCAAGTCCGTGGGCCTGGGACCAGGAGCAGTTGCACTCATTGTCTTGGCATTTTTACTTTTGCTGTGTAAGTAACTGATTCATATTATTTCAGAAGCACTGTCAATATGGTCCACAAGGCATCAGAGAAGGAACAGGTCACCTCTCAGGTTTTATCATCTTGATATATTCAGTGTAAGCTCCTAGTCTTTGTGAAGTCGTGGCAAATCCCCAACTCATTTGGGTAACATCAGTGTTTTACCCTCAAAGGACTTCAAGCTGTGCATTTCAAAATTCATAGCTACAGTTTTAATATTTGTTTGTGATGCTGTAAATAACAGGTGAGGAAGCAGTGAGGAATCCTTTTGTTGTTCCCACATCTCCTTGTGTGAATCCTAACTCTTCCCACTCAAACCACAGTGCTCTCTCCACTCTCTTCTGCCTCACTGCAGGCCCAGACCTGGTGCCTTGCTCTGAGCAACGTGTGACATTGCTCTTTGAGACAAAGTAGAAGCTCAAAAGTAAGAGAATAATACTTGTAGCCAGGTTATGGCCCTGAGTACTAGTGCTGCAGTAAAACTGGCAATACTTTATTGCTTCTACTGGTAGCAATCTAACTGTGGCTAAACAAAGTTCATGCCATGTGAATAGGCTCAGCTCCTGAAACTGGATTGTTCTGAGTTCCCCAGGCAATGCTCTAGACACGTCCTAGGAGTGGTGAGGTGGAATTTACATGACACCAAGCCACTCTCTGGTAGTAAAAGGAGGAGTGAGGAATGCTGTGATTACACAGTGGTACTTAGGGCTTGGATTTGGTATATGAGATCTCTGGTGAGGTTACACAGTGATACTTAGGGCTTGGATTTGGTGTATGAGATCTCTGGTAGAAGTACTGCTACAAGCCTGAGTGGTCACGTGCAGGACTGAGGCCATGACAGGTTGTCAGTGTCCTGTGGGAAGCCAGCCTGGCATGTCTTCCTAGGAGATACCTTCAACATTTGGGAACCTCCGCCGAGTAGCTCATCAACCCCCATACTGATCCCTAGCTCATGAAATACATGTCAGTATGAGAGCTGGCTGAACTTTACTAGCAGCTACCACACTTCCACCCTGCTAACCAGAGGTTTACTGGCAACCTTCTGTCCCCTGCAGTGATTCCACTGCTGCTGCTGCTGTGCCCCTGCGGGGCGGGGCCGAAGGGCTTCGCGGCGATCCCCGACCAGAGCGAAGCCGTGCTGCGCCAGTGGAACAGCGAGGGAGCAGCTCCCCAGGAGAAGGTACCCCCAGGGGCATTTCCCTTGCATTTTCACTGGGTGCCTCTTCCCTGTTGCAGGCTGGCGTTTTGAAGCTGTACAGCAGCTTTAACCACACATGGACATTAATTAACACAAACCCCGTGAGGCTCGGTGAAGGATGTGTGGAAGGTGAATTCCACCAGCAGCTCTAGAAAAAAGCAGCCCGTAGTGTTTCAATCCCAGAGTCAAGGGAAAGCAATGAAGCAAACTTTGATGGTATCTCAGCAGAAGGTAGGAGTGTGGGAAAAGCATGGTGCTGAAAAGAGTGAAGCGTTTGCATTTGCAAGCCTGGAATGTTCTGCACCCCTTTGTGAGCACAGGAAGGCAGTGAAACAATGGGCTGTAAAGCTTAGCTTCTCAGCAATTTAAAGTTTCAGGTTGCATTTTAAATTATTTCCCCGAGTATCTGGTTTCTTAAACAGAGGAAGTTCTTAATTTTAACAAAAAGGCAGAAAAAAGTGCAAATCTGCAGAGGGAGAGCAGTGTGTGCCAAGACAGCTTTGCCCTTTCTTGTTCCACAAAAACCCAGTTTTAAAAAAAAAAAAGGCCATGACACTGGCAGGGTTTTGCACAATAACAAAGAAACAGAGGTAAGGTAAATGACTTTTGATTTAGGGTGAATACTTACACCAAGTTCTTGTTAAAAGCCAATTAAGAGGGAAGCACCACAGAGGCAGTGAGCGGTGCACACTCCCTCCCTTTGTGTCTGAGGAAAGCTGGGCACTGTCTTTCTTGGAACAGCTGAGCTCCCTGCAGTTTGCAAGCCTTTTTTTGGGTGTTTGGGGTTTTTTTTCCCCCACTTTCACTCCCAAGCCTTTGAGATTCAAGAAGACAAGGATCTAGAGAAACATTCCTATGATCCTCCTTGGGAACACAGTTGTGGAAAGGTATTTCAGAAGTTCTTTTACTCTTTGCAGCCACACGTATAAGTGCAAATTCAAACAAGTTGTAAAACTGCACCCTCCCAGGTCCCACCCAGCCCAGCTGCTGGTTTGGTGAGTTCTGTGTGCTAGCCAGCACAGCTTTCATGTCCCATCCTAATCTGTGTTCTTTATGTAGCCAGTGCTAAACTTCATCCCACCCACTGTGCTGGGGAGCGCCACAGGAGCGGCCAGCGGAGCAGCAGGAGCAATGAGTGGAGAGGAAACTGCATCAGGAGGAGGCTGCTCTGCTTCTCAGGTCAGACAGCATCTCAACACTGTCACCAAGGAAGGATGGGAAGAGCAAAGACATCTCCTTTCTGGTGCTGAGTATGGAGCCGTGGCAGCTGGAGGAGCTGAAGGCATGGCAGGTGCAGAAGGCAAGACCGTGGTGGCTGGAGGAGGAGTCGTGATGGGAGCAGCAGGAGCCATGAATGAAGAGTTTTTAAGAGACTACTTCAGTGACGTAAGCATATGACCCAAAAATAACAGGATCTTATTATTTACACTTAGAGTTGTGAAATGCTGGTCATGGTACTACAAACACAGATGGGTAGATATGTGTATATAAACAGTCCTGATGCAATGGCCAGTGTTGCATGCATGTGGAGTTGGGGGAGTTAAAGGATTTTTGGGTTGGGCTTACACGTGGGACTTAAAGCATGACAGCACTCTGTCTTGTAGCACTGGGTGGTTACAACATCTGCCACAATGAGACCCTGCTCAGGAGAGAGGTACCTGGGGATGGGATACAGAATATTCAGCAATGATCAAGGAGACCCTCACCTAGGAAGAAGCTGTGAGAAAGACTCTGGGATGTAATTCTCAGGGACTTAAGCATATTACACTGGCCTGTAGGGAGGTACCTGTGACTCATCATGAGTCACACTGCAAACTTCACCGTGGAGCAGGTTTTTGGAAGATAAGCTATAGATGTCTTGGGTGGGTCTGCGTTTTCAAAGTAGCTGATGAAGCAAGTGGTGCTGGACTTCTTTCTTTGCCCAGCAACCTGGGTGAAGGGCCATTCATCAGAAGAACACACGACCCCAAAACAGACAAGTAACCAAACCACAGAGTTTCAGATGCATGCTGGTTTTTGTAGATGGGCCTCGGGTAACGTCCCTGCTTCTAGGATCCAACACAGGTAAAGACACAGAGTTGGTTTGGGTCTGGTTACACACCACATCCCCCAGGTGCCTGAGTTAATACACACTCTAGGACTTCAGATGTGGCAGAAAAGTGGTTCTGAGCACAAGCCAGCAACAGTGTTAGGTAAAGCTGGTTCAGCAAGCCCAGAGGATTTGGCTGTGCTCACTCCCAAACTGGAGCTGTTGCAAGCATGTACACAGGTATTTATTTTAGTGTACTCCATTGCTTTCAGACTGAGCTGGCCCTGGAAGCACTGTGGTCAGAGCTCTTAAGCCCTCCTGGTTGCAAAGTGGCCTACACTCATGCTGGACTACATCCCCATACCTACCAAGCTTCTTAACTTCTTGGTTGGTTTGTTACTGGGCTGCCTGAGTGTGATTGTGCAGGCTGTGCTGGTGCAAAGGGCCGTGGCAGATGGTGATGTGTCAGCATGTGCACGTTAAATGGATGTTTAAAAGTTAGAATGCTCTTGGGCATAGTTTTGGAACTCCCTCACAAACACCTAGTTAGAAGTGCAGTTCATTCACTGAACCAAAATACAAACAGTCTCTTTGTGAAGATGGAACAGTCTCACAAGTACCCAAGGTTTTCAATTTCATCTCAGGTTTTAGTTCTCATCGAGTGTACTGTCAAGTCCAGACTAACTTCAAAGGAAACAAAAAGCACTTCATGGGATTGCCCTCGCTCGGTTTGTGGTTTCTGTGGATTTGGTTAAATTTTCTTATTTTACACTTTTTGACCAAGTATTCCTGATGATAACCATTAATTGTGGAGCTGACAGGTTGGCTGTTTTTGTTTTGCCTGCAGAAAGCTGTCTCTTTTGCCGAGGAAGACGAAGCCCAAGCCGCCAACGACTGTCTCCTGGTGTATTCCCAAGGGGAGTCAGGCTCCCCTCACGGCTCCGTCGGCTGCTGCAGCTTTATTGAAGGTGATCTTGATGACCACTTCCTCGATGATTTAGGAGACAAATTTAAGACTCTGGCAGAGATATGCCTGGGCAGACCCATCAACATGAAAGAAGGGAGCTCCCGCAGTGAGTCAGGTTTCGGTTTTAGTGACGCAAAGCTGCGGTTCTTGGATCAGCAAAACCCTTCCAGCTCTGAACAAGCCTTTGCCTCGGGCAGCCACTTCCAACCCAACCTGCCAGTGCACCTGGGGGGTGGTGCAGGAGAAGACACCCTGTCCAAGGAGGTGGTTACGGAAACGGCCTCCATGTCACGCTCTGGGCAGCGCAGCGCCCGGCCCCTGCCCGCAGCCCACGCAGAGACCAGCTTCACCCTGACAGAAACATCCTATTCTGCAGGGGCTCCTGCCCGCCCCACTGCTGCCTTTCTAGACCCTCAGTTTAAGGAGAACGTGGTGGTGACAGAGAGAGTGCTGGCCCCCGCGTCGAGCTTGCAGGCTGTGGTGGAAGTCCCCACTTTGCCAGCTGGAAGTAACGTGGTGGTGACGGAGAGGATGGTGAAGTCAGAGGGGGCTGGGCCAGGAGCCCTGAGGGTTCAGGATCTCCCAGACTCCCACTACGTGGTGGTGAGGGAGAGGGAGAGGGTGCTTGTTCCTGCTGCAGAGCAGAGCTCGCTCAGCTTCCCCTCTCTGGCAGAGGGGCACAGCGTGGTGGCCAACGCCTCGGGGGTGCAGAGCAGAGCTGAGCTGGCAGCAGCTCCCCGCCCGGGAAGAGAAGAGCACTTGCTGATCACAGACTCCCTGCTTAACCAGGCTGCATCCAGCTTGGAAGGGCCACCTCCTGCCAGCACCACGCTCAGCAAGTCTTCCAGGGTCACCCAGTACAGCTCGGTGCAGTACAGCCGCTCCTAGGCTGGGCCCTGGCAGGGCTGGCAGTGCCCAGCAGCCTTCTGTCCCTGCCTCAGGCTTCCTCCTCAGACATGAAGTTTCTGGAGCTTCCAGAATGACATGGACTCGCTTGCAGCAGTTTGTATAAATAAGGATTAGGACCAGGAAGCTAGTAAGAAAACCTGCTGTTTATTACTTAACACAGGCAGCGATGCCTTTTGAAGTGGAAAGATGTGGGAAATACTTTTTGTTTACTATTTTTTGTAATTGCTTTTTATTATTCAGTTAGGGTAATAATACCACATAACCACAGCAATGCCTAATGATGGGAAAGCAGAAAAAAAGTGCAAAGTCTGGTGATGGAGAGTAGCGTGCAAGGCATAAGTTGGGGTTTTGAGCTGCTGTGTGGTGTAGCTGCTGCAGTCCCCCCCTTAGGGGCATCAGTTTCTCAGTGCTTGTTTGCTGTCTGTTACCCTGTAGGCCAGGGCAGCTGCCTGTGAGCTGCAGAGCTGTGCACCTCAGTGAATTCTGAGAAAAATCTCCTTCCTGACAAGCCCAGGCTACCAGAGCCAGTACATCCTCAGCGTGTTGATCTGGTGGGATGTCATAACTCTGGGTTATCAGCATTTGTACCTTCAGCAATCAATACTTCCTATCAGCACAGGGTTTAAAGAGAGCAAGGAGCACAAAAGCCAAGAAGTGCAATTTTTTGGGTACCTCACTGTAAAAATTCCTTTACTTGGTGTGGGTCTAGGCTGCCATGGACACATAAGCATCTGCATGTTACAAATCTTTCATTGGCTCCTAACTGGTCCTTTTATTAATGTATGAGAACCAGCCAAAGTTTACCTTAGCTTTAGAGCCATAGATTCAGCCAGTGGCTTTGCTAGCCAAGTTTATGGCCCTTAGACATCTGCAGGATCTGATTTACAAGTGCAATTAAGTCGTTTTAATTCTGTGAACTCAGATCCAGGCAAAGAAATGCTGCCTGATGTGTGAGAGCTTCTGGTCCCAACACCAGAGCTCAAGTGGCCTGTGTAGTGCCTTAAAGAGCAGCTTTCCTAAGCTCTGACAAGACAGGAAAGCTCCCTTTAAATCTGCAGCAGTTCAGGTTACTTTCCAACTTCATGGGGAGAAAAAAACATTAATAAGGCAGAAGACAGCACTTCCCTGTTTGGCACTATGTATATATGCACCTGTAGATATTTATATGCAGTTGAAACATTTTAAAGTGAATTTTATAAAGGAAAAACTGTCATGCCCCTCATGTTTTCTCAGAGTAGATGAAAGTATTTTAGATTAGGTTTATCTCACACAGTATAAAATCAGCAAGCTGGTCATCTGCTACTGCAAACCCTGTGTGCCTGCAGAGCTTTCTGCTTGTCTCCATCTCTCCTTGAGCTTTCCTGCAGCTGCAGAGTTGTTTTCCACTGACATGTTTTGCCTGTGACTATAAATCCTTTCAGGGTGTTTGATTTTACTTGCTAAGGATGTAAAAGTTGAGTCAAAACCAGCATAAAAAGTAGGAACCAGGGTGCATCTTGATGGGCCATTGCATGGAGTGGAGCAGCACTCACACTCCCTTGTGGTGGATGGACCTCTTGGTTATTTCTCTCTTCATTCCTAAAGTAGGTGTGTTTACTTTGGAGCAAGTGTGCAGTTTTAAATGGTCACCACTTTTTTTCCTGCAATTACAGGGAGTGAACTTATTGCTGACTTTTTCATGGAGTATTCCTGTGGGTTTATGCAATTTTAAAATAAAGAACTCTACTGGGTTTTATTTTTTGTTCAGTTCTAAGAGAGTTTCTTCAGGGAAAACCCTCACTTTCTTATTTGCAAGTAAGTTTAAATACAGAACAAGGATGGGGATTTCTCAAGCAGCTCTGAAAGGTGAAAACAGTAAAAGTTGATGTACTGGTAACTTCTGGACACTGAAAAACATGAATTTGTGTGCTGGTTTAGCCCACTGAACTCAGTGTGAACTTGGTGCAAGTCAACAGCATCCCAGCCACAGATTTGAGTCAAACTCTTCTCATCAGTTTATACTTAGAAACAAGTTTTACCACACATTTTTTCTAATGCTGGAGAGATTTAAGAGTGAATCTCCCTTCTTTGGCTTTTGTCTTCTACCAAGACTTCATCTGCTGTCAGCATATGCTAATGCTGGTGGGACATCCATCAGATCAAATAAATCACTTCTCATGGAGCTGGTTTGTAAATAGTGGTGGCTGCTGGGAGGAATGTGCAGAGCCAGACTCAGGGAAGTGCCTGGTTAGCATCTGACCACGAGATAACCCCAAGACCAGGACTTAGCCCTGTGTTTCTTTGTGAGAGATGCCTCACTCTGACTTCAAAAGTAAAAGCAAAGTCTTTAATTCTCTTATCTAAAAATAACAATGCTGAAATACCAGCGTGACAGGGACTGTGTGCTGCTCTTCATTTGGCTCCTGCAAATCCTCAGGCTCCAAGAGTATGAAGGAAGGAAGGGCTGTGTCCCCAGCAGCAGAATAACAAAGCACAGTTATGCTGAAACACCAGCGTGACTGTGTCTGTGCTGCTCTTTGTTTATCTCCCAAAAATCCTCAGGCTCCAAGAGTAAGAAGCAGCCTGCCCCAGCAAGGAAGGGCTGTGTCCCCAGCAGCAGGGCAGGTGGACCCCTGTCCCCAGCACCCCCAGGAGAGCTTCTCCTTTGCCATGCCTCAGCGTGTGCTTGGAGCCAGGCTACACTTTGCAAGGCAGGACAAGCTCTTCCAGGCCTCTGGGGTTTTTTTCCCTGGGAATTTGACCATTGGCCACTATCAGAGGCTTGAAGCTTGTGGAGGTTATCAGATTTTCAAAACTAAATCAGCTGAGTAATGGGTGTTTATGGCCTTGAGGCATCCCAAAAATGCAGCACTCCCTCTGCTGTAGTGGAGCTGAGGGCTCTGGCTGCCTCCTTTACTGGCCTCTTCTCCCTCCTAGTGGCATCTGAGCTTTCCATGAGCCTGAAACACTAAGTGCCACCTCCTCCTCCTGCCTTGGGGGCAGGAAGGTGGCCTCTGCCCGGCTGCCTCACACACTCCTCCAGCTGAACCGACCTGGGTGACAACCAGGAGGGAAAAAAAGAAACCCAGCCTGTTGTGTGTGAGGAGAGGAGGCTGAGCTGAGCAGCCCCGGGGGCTCAGAGGGACGGGTGGGTGCAGTGTTGGAGCCCCTCCTGGCCACACAAGCTAGAAAGCTCAGCCCCTAGGGGCCTGACAGTAGGCTGGAGAGGTAAGGGGGTGAGGAGAAACGGGGTGTTTTGCAGAGAGAGAGGGATCACTGCCTCAAGAACTGAGGCAGGGCAGGGGGGTGATTGCCAGACACGCCATGCCCCAACTGTCTGCTGAGAGTCTGCCAAGAAACACCACCACAAACAGCCCCTCTGACCCTTGAACCACAACGTGGTTGCAGCCTCCAGATCCCAGTTCCTGCAGGTGGCCTGGCCTCAGGAGAGGGCACTGCAGGTCTCAGTGGCACGTCCTGCTGCCAGAGGAACCTAGATGGCACCAGCCTGTGCAGAACAGATGCTAAAAGCTGCTCCTGCTGCCATGAAGGACAACTCCCCGGGCAGTGCCAAGTGCTGCAGAGTCTGGGGGTTTGCAGTCTGAGGGATGGACTGGATGAGTTGTAGCAGGAGCTGGTGCCAGCAGCCTGTGCCATCCTCCTCACTGCGTTCTGGCTGTAGTGCTGCAGCTGGAAGAAGCCACAGGAGCAAAGCTGAAGGTGTAGAACTGAGCAGAGCAGGGCTGGTACCTGCTCCCCCAGGGGGGGAGGCACATGGGGAGGGTATCCTCAGCTTTACAGCTCCCTGTTTGTGGAGCCACTGGAGCTGTAAGAAAAAGAGACAATGAGTTTAGCTGAAAATGGTATCTTTATTTAATACTGAGCCAATTTTTGGACATGCCAAATGCTGAGGTAAACTTCCATCATTACCTGCAAGAGCTGGGGACGCCCAGGGAGAAAGGGATTCCTACTTCCCTCTGCTGCCTTCATGATTTTCTTTGAGTTACTGAAATAGGTGTGCAAAGTGACAGCACTCGTTTTTAAATTGCCCTGAAACTCATTCCCTTGAATTTTATAACAGCAAATGTCTCCAGGTGAGCAGGGGGACTGTCCCCAGGAGGGGCTGTGGATGCCCTGGGGGAAAGCCTCATGGCAAAGGGTTTGTTGTGCAGGGCACTGGGGGCAGGAGGGTTTACAGCCCTCCCACCTCAGCTCCCAGCTGCTTTCTGACCTACGATTCAAATGTTTCATCAGAGTATTTCTCTTAGATCTTTTATCTCTAGCAAATAGAACTCAGAGACGAGATATCACCTCCCAGTGATTAAGCAACAAGCTGCATTGACTCCCCTGCTAATGATTAGCCAAGATCTTTGGAGCGTGGCTAAAGTTTAAACCCTGGAGGAGCACAGGAGTTGGAGAGGACAGTGCTGGTACCAGCTGAGGAGTCTCTCCCAGGCCTTGAATCCAGCCTCACAAAGCAGCCAATCACCCTTCTCCTGGGGAGCAGAGAATCATTTAGGTTGGAAAAGACCTCTAAGATCATCAAGCCCGACTGTTAACCTAATTCTACCAAGTCCACTGCTAAACCTTGTCCCTAAATGGGGTGGGATATGCAGGGGCATCTGTGGGACAGGGGAGGGTGGCAGACAGAGCTGCTGGGAGTAGGTCAGTGGCAGGAGGCCGTGGGCAGGGTCCTGGGTACCAGGGGCAGGGCTGCAACAACCCCCCTGGGTGACCACCAGTCTGGCTGGTTGCCTTTGCCACCTTCTGCCACCCACACTGGTCAGCCTGGTACCTGCCTTTCTTCCCTTGAAAAACTCCCAGCACTGCCTCTCCAACATCAGACAGATATTACTCTTCAAGAATTAGCATTTCATCCTTTCTGGAGCTGAAATCCAGATCCATACAAAAAATCCTTGAAGCTGTTAGTTAGGATGCTCTTATCAAAGAAAAAGAAGATAGGATGGAACTGAGCACGGGCCTCTCACATGAAAATTTCC